GTTTCTAAATATTGGGAACAAAATGAATGACCTGTCTTTGCTTGAGTTAACTTTTTCTTAGCCTCCATTCCCTCTCTCATTTCCCTACCTCCCTGAGACCATCTATGTATAGATGTATATCTGTGGATCGAATGTAATTTTTTATGCTGTTGAATTTGTAATATTTTCCTTAATGTTTTATCCTTTCCATGTCTTAAAGATACTTTTCCCTACAACAAGATTACGAAGGTAATTTCAGAAATATCTCTTTTAAAGACATATGATGATGACATTTATATGTGTGACATATGTGACTGTGCAGTGGGTTATACACATGTCTCACTGGAAAAATGGAACATTACTAATTTCTCTTCCTATTAGGAATGCAAGTAAGTGAGAATAATATAATAGGAATAATCTTGAAACCACTTTACTTCTTCAGCTCTAAGTGGCTGGATTTTAATTATTATACATAACAGATTACTTGTGACACATTTTGCAACTGTGGAGTTATATCTTTGGGGGAATCTCTATTTGTTTATCAAAATTGTTAAGTGCATGTATCTCTGTGGCTCAGATCTTCCATTTCTGGGAATTTAGACTGCAGTTCTGTCTACATATGTGCTGTTCTTTTTGTTTGTGGAACATTGTTTTTAAATTGCAAAAGACTGGAAACACTCAAATGTCCTTCAATAGGAAATGGATTGAGCAAATTATAGTACATCCACACAGGGAATACTATGCATCAGTAAACAAAAACAAATAATGAGGGTTATTTTTATACCATTGTCCAAAATGTGTCGTAGGGTGTCCAAAATGTGTTGTTTAGTGAAAAAAAGTAAGGTGGAGAACTACATATATAAATGCTTCCTTTGTGTAAAAGGATTGAAATATATTTGAACTTGTTTTCAAATTTGCTTGTATATGCATAAAGATATCCTGAAAGGATTTATAAGCAAGTAGGAGTAGTGGTTACCAATGGAAAAAGGACCAACTAGAGATAAGAATTTGAGACTTTGTATTATATATCTTTTATGTAGTTTCTGATATTTGGACTGTGTAACAGCACTAACTACTTAAAATTAAATTATAACAAGTGGAGTACCTTACAGATTTAGAGACTGTTTATTTAATCAACTTCTCAATAACCTCCATTCCCTTAGTCTGAAGCTAAACTCCTCCCCCTTCCTCTTTATCTCTGAGCTGGCATGATTTTAACCCACAAGAAACATGTATTAAGTGTGCTTAAATTACAAGGAACAGTGCGAGGCACTGGGGCTCCCAAGAGACAAAGGAGAATAGGAAATAATCTCTACCTTTGAAGTAGTCTAGTGGATTTTATCACTCTTTTTAGTGGTAAGACAAGAATTAAAAAATGTTCTTTTCTCCTCTTGTCCCTCCTTCCCTGTAATCACGCAAAATGCTGGAAATATATTGGAATTCCTTTCTAATTCTTCTCCCCCTCACTTGGAGAGTACTAATACTTGGGGAGCTCAGTAACTCTCCATCAGGCCTAGACCGGCAGGCCTTAGGCCAGGACCAAGACTCAACGTGCTTTCCTTGGGCCCCTGGCGCCTTGTGTAGGTTCTTGGACCTCTCAGATGCTGTTATGACTGTGGTTTCCGGCTTCCTGAGTTCTCATATTCAGCTTGGTGCTGCAGATATCATACTCCAGTTCCTGCTTTGGAGACTGACATACTCAAGTTTGGTGTTACTCTGAGTACATGGAGTCTGTGGATCTCAGCTAAGGGATTTGCTTTACTGTTTTAGTTTTCCTCCTTTCCCTTACCTGGGTGTAAATGCCTTAGGTTACATAAGTGTAGAGTATAAAGCTTTGTTGGGTAGAAGCTAAGAGAGATCATTTTTCTAATTGAATATCCTATCTCATGTTAGGTCTTTAGTTCTGCTTCTGTTTAGCTAGAGATGTTTTGAACACTCCAGACAACAAGTCCAGTAAGAAAGCAATCAGAAAATTTATGCAGAACTTAATGGTTTACAGTACATTTTCTCGTGTTATTTAAATTAAATGTGGTAATTCTATGAGGGTAGATATCCCATTTTTAGAGTTGAAGAAAAGTGATGCTTAGGGAGAGAAACGACTCTTCCTTGCAGATATTGAATACCTCCTATACTATTGTAAACCTTGTGTATGCAGAGTTTAATTGTGGAGCTATCCTTTTATGGGTTGGGACCACAGTTCTTAAATTGTTAGATTCTCAGCAATAGATTATACTCTCTGGAACTGAGACTACTATACAGTTAATCTTTTCACTCATTCATTTAATCGGAACTTCAGTTAAATGTCTATGCTGTTTAAGGACAGGCTTTATCTAAGAAAGAATTGGGAGGTTAAGACTAACTACTAATGAGATGCTGGGAGGATCTTAAGGCAGAAATGTGGATGCTGCCAAGGAGGCAGTGGTAAGATCTGGGCTTTAGACTAGAACTTTGCAAATAGGAGTTCTATGGCTAGCTAGCAGTCAGTGAAGGTTCAGTTTGGAAATTAGCAAGCTAGGTTTCTGCAGGTGTTTTTAATTAGAAAGAGTTTAACTCCCAAGGTACTTTATTCATATCTGTACCTTTATTTTTACCCGGCCAGCATCAATTTTCTCCTCTGTTTCCATTTGGGGGGATACTCTTTTCTTTTTTAAAAGATTTTATTTATTTATTTTTTTTGAGAGAGAAGAAGGGAAGGAGAGGGAGAGAAACATCGATTGGTTGCCTCTCATGCTCCCAAGCAGGGACCTGGCTCACAACCAAGGCATGTATCCTGACGGGAAACTGAACCTGTGACCCTTTGCTTCATAAGCCCGCACTCAATCCACTCCACACCAGCCAGGGCTTTTGGGGGATAATTTTAGGGAGAGATTGTTTCTCTGTTCTACCCTTGCCAGCCTAGACTTTACCATGTGACATTAGATTGACCAATCAACCACAGCTCCTGGCCAATACTTAAATGGATTGTTGATGTTCTGGGCCCCAACAACATATTCGTTTACATTTTTCTTTTGCTTGTACTTGCAACAGTGTCTGTGCTGGTGCTTGTAACAGACAAGAAGAATTTTGACTTACAAGTTGTGGCAATTTCTTTACCAGGCTATAAGCTCCTTGAAAGCAGGGCCTAAACTTTATTGCGCTCTTTTTCTTTGGTGCCCAACTTAACCCCAGTCTCAATACATGCAGGTCAAATAATGAAGAAACATGTTATATTTATACGGAGCTACAGAGTTTGGGATTCTTGAGATTACTGTGGTTGTGGGGCAAAAAATTCTGTACATACCACCACAGTCACTAACAGTTGAGCAACATCATCTTAATGGAAACTAGGGAGTCCTGGGAAGGTCTGTTTCTCCTGTATTTGAGTACTTGGCAACATTCATGCTGGTGGTTCTGGTCCTCAAATTCCTGAAGTTTTTAATTTTTTATTTGAATATGGAATACCACTAATTTTCATGTTATCTTTGGGCAGGGATCATACTGATCTTCTCTGTATAACATTTGTGTACGTGCTTCAGAAGTGAGCACAGTGGAAGCTCTTGTCTCTGGTTTCCCAGAACCTCTTTCTAAGCACTGCCCTCTGTCCTACTTCAGCTGAGGTAGTGTGCCCTCTTCGGTCTTCTGTCCTGATATGAAAAGCACCTCCCCTATGGACTCAGGTCATGGAGACTCTACCAATTGTTTCCAATATTATTCTCTTTCCTTTCATCCTTTCTACAGAGACACATACAGCATCTATTATTTGTCAAGTTCTGAGAGTTCAGTAGGTACAAGATAGACCCTGACTCAAATTCAGGATATAGACAAATATGACCAAAGAACACACAAAGGAAATACTAACAAACTGTGTTGAAAATTGAAGTGATAAGGTAGACTGTAATTACCATGGTTGAGGTGTATGATAGAGGGAAAGACTTATAGATACTGTAGACAAAGAGGATTTCACTGAGAAGATGAACTGAGACCTACATGATGAAGAGTCAGCTTGGCAAAAAGAGAGAGCTTGTTAAATGGCCCAGCAGCGGCACAGAGCTTGGAAAGAGGCATGGAAACTGACAGAAAGTCAGTGTGGCTAGAGGATGGGCAGCATGGAGGATGCAGATAGATCGATTAGTTATTTTAATCAGGGCAGTGCCATGGTTAGATTTACGTTTTAAGAAGTAAAACCTGGCTGTTCTGTCATCTCTCTAATATAAAATCAAAGTTTTTATTGCCTTCTTAAATTACAAATGTTTAGCATTTCTTCTTGGGACTTTCCAAGTCCTATTGGGAAAACATCCCTGAACGTATTGGGGTAGGTGCAACTCCGCTCTTGGTCCCCGGAGGCAAAAAAACAGCTCCTCCTAACCCAAGCAATTGGAATCCTTTCCTAGGAGTTAATGAGACAAAGTGGAGGAGGAATTAGTACAAAGGCCCTGAGATAGAAAGGAACCTAGTTCGTTTGAGGACTTGAAAGCGGCTGAGAACTGGGGAAGCTGGATATGTGAGAATGTGAGAAGCAGATTAGGTCCATACTTTCAAGATCCTGGTAGATAGGTTTACTGTGAAGACCCCACTGATCTTAATCTGAAAAACAGTGAGAAACAGGCTTTGGGCAGGGGATGTCTGTGACTACATTTGCGTTTTGAAAGCTTCCATTGTCTGTGTGTGAAGACTGGATTGGAGGGGGGAATAGTAATGAAGAGGCTGAAAGGGACCACCATCATCTACGAGAGACGTGATGGTGGTCTATGCTGCGGTATTGCAACGGTATGGAGATAAGTGTAAGGCTTCAGGATGTATTCAGCAGGAAGAATTAACAGGTGATGGAGTGTCCAAACCCGGGCTTCGGGGTTACAGGTGAGTAGGCACTTCGAGCTCTAGATCAAGGGCGTCGGCCGGATTCCCGCGCCTCAGGGCAGTGGGCGTGGCCCGCCCGAGCCGTCGCCATGGTAGTCGGGTTGGGCGGGACCGAGGGCGGGGCAGCTGGGGCTCTGCGTCACTTGGTGGTGGCGGTGGTGCGTGTGTGTGGGGGGCGGGGGATACGCTAGGCGCGTCCCGAGGGTCACGTGGTGCGCAGCACGCAGAGTCCTTCTGTCGGTTGGTCCTGAAGCGGCGCAGCCGGAGCGGGGCTGTGAGGTGAGCTCGCGGTGAGGCGCGGTGAGGTGAAGCCGGCTGGTCGAAGCCGGGTCCGGGCAGGTCCGCGCCGGCGCGTGCCGTGCGAGCGGGGACGGTGACGGACGCCACCACCGCTGTGGTCCCCTGCCCGGCCCTGCTCCCCGCCTGGCCCGTCTCGCCCAGCCCGGAGGGAGGCCCGGGGACCGCTGCTGAGAGCGTGGCGGGCGTGCGAGCAGCGCCCAATCCCCAGGGCTCCCAACGGAGTGACGGCCGTTTAGGCCAATCAGCGCCGGCCGAGGGGGCTGGGCCACGGGGTGCGGGCCCGGGGCGCGGAGCGGGCCGTGTTGGGGGTTGGGGGTAAGCGCTAGGGCCAGAGCTTGAGTATTGTGGCCCCCGAGAGCTCCACCACTAGCTCCTCGTGTTGCCTTGTTCTTTAAGATTGCTTTAAAAAAAAATTTACTCCTTTATCCTATTCTGGGGAGCACACCCCTTTTCTCAAGCCCCCAACTATGGGAGTGTACCCTTTCTCTAGTTTTGAAAATGTGGGTGGGGCACCCCTTTTTTAAATTCCAGTCCTGAGGTTTATCTCAATTTCCAAAACCCCCTCAAACTGAGGATGTACCCCCTTTTCCAGGCCCCCCAAACTGGGAGGACACTTCCTTTTTCGAGGCTTCAATCTGAGTAAGCACTCCCTTTTTAAATTTGGAGCTTCGGCCTGTTAACGAGTCTCTCAAGTCTGGGGTCCAATAGCCAAAGTTTTGGGGCACTTACTTCCACAAATCCAGGGAAGACTTCTTTTCAGGCCCAAATCTGGCAACGTGCTTTCCAGAATTTCTTAAATTTAAGGGCCACTTCCTTTCCCCAACTTTTCAAATCTGAGGTGCACCTTATTTTCAGAGACTACCGAAAATGAGATCCAAATCCTGAAGATAAAGGTTACATATTGTCAATTACACAAACAAGGGAATTCGCTCCTTTTTCTAGTCGCTGTAGTTGGTTGCACCCTTTTTCATGAGTTTCCCAAACCGAATTATCTTACTTCCTGGGGGAGACTCATTGTCATATCTGAGAGTGTATTTGTTTCTTGTATTCCCCAAATGTACAGGATGCACCCCTTTTGGTTACAGTTTTCAGGGTGCAGCTGCTCCCTGATAACTTTTTGAATCTGGTAAGGTACATCTTTTTTTTGAGCCCTCTCATTCCCAGGCGATGGCCCATAGTTTTTGGGATTTTTCTGCTGTCCAAACATTTTGTTTCCTTAGTTTCCTTACATTTTTGGAGCCCCAGTTCCCTCTCTAGCTGCTCTCCCTTTCTAGTCAGTGCACCCATTTCCTCTTCCTTTGATGAATGAGTATCTTTGGCATAGTACTTTCTCTGCTACTGTGGCCTCTTTTTCCCTAAGCACACTTCCTACAGTCCACACCTCTTGAATTCCCCTTCCCCAAAGGCAGGATTCCCTCTCCTAAGGGGGTGCCTGCATGTTTTCTTTCCTGTGTCTACTCTATCTTTTATCCTTCTGCTTTCTGCTGAGTGGAACTCTTCTCTCTTGGTTTGCCCTGTCGCCAGGCATTTTTCTTGTTTGTAACTCTTTGGTCACTGCTCTGCTTAGTGGTGGCTCTACAGATTTTAACTTTCTTCCCCTAGAGCTGGAGGTAGCCTCAAGTCTAGGACTATCTGATGCCCCAAGTGCTGAGTTTAAACTGGGAATGAATCTCCTCTCACATCGTCGGTTATTCACAGGACTGTTAATCCTTCTGGTGGTTTGCTTCCTTTAACATTCTGGTTAGATGACTACTGTTTTCTCCTTTGCTTTATTTCCCTGAATTGGCGGGGGAAAAAACCCTCAGGAGATTCGTCCAGTCTTGCTTTCAGCTCAAAAACTTCCTCCCTACATTGGCTTTCTTTCCTTTTATCAAGAAAAGAGGTTGGTCATTTGGAGGAATCTCCTAGTCATTCTTTTTGTTCTTGTCCCTGGGGTGGGGGATGGAGCCTTATCTCTGCCCATCATCCTCTCATCCACCAAGCCATGCTCCCAACCCCACTTTAAAATCTACAAATATCTGGGATCTCTTGTCTCTTGAGAGCCTCTCAGTAGGTTCTTTCTTTTGTATTTGTCTGTCTTCCTGGAACTTACTCCGGGCTTCTCAGCCTAAACCCCTTAACGAGATTAATTTCTCCACAGCTGGAATTCCAAGTGCTTATGGGATAATGACACCTCTGACCTTTCTCCCTTTTGAGAAGTACTTGAGTGTGCAGCTGTATGAGGCCTCAGTGGGGGAGAGAGTTTGGGCCTGAGAAGCTACCCTGGCAGGACAAGGCAGGAAAAGACTGCATTTTTAGGACCACGTCCTTCTGAATCTCATTTGGATGTTTGCCAAGCACCTGCTTCTTATGGATGCTGGGGGGATTTAATGATTGATACTCCCAGGAACCTGTAGGAATTAATGGGGCTTGTGGAGAAGTGTTTGAACTGTGTTGGAGTTTGAATAAAATTAATCATTATTGTATTTTCAGAACAAGTAAACTGTTTTATATTATATTTCATGTTCATGAAAGCCCTAGAGCTAACTTGTGCTATTTCAGGATGTGAAATAGATCATATTTGATCATTTGGTCATTAGTAAGTACCAGATGAATTAAAAAACATTGGAGGTCTGTCTGAGTGAGCAGTACCTAATAAAATATGGTATACAGAAAGTGAACAGGTACTTTGTCTCTTTATTTGCCTGTTTGGTACTTTATCTATGTACTGTTATGTACAGTGCACCCAAAGGGTTCTATATCACTGCTTCTCAAACTTGAATGTGCGTATAAATCACTTGGGGATGGGGGTAGGCTGTCTTGCTATAATGCTGATTCTGATACAGTAGGTTTAGGGTGGGGGCTGAGTATCTGCATTTCTAATTCCCAAATGATGGTAATGTTATTGAATTACACTTCGAATAGTGAGGTTCTGTACACAAAGCCAAAGATATTGCTGTGAAAATGGGAAGGTGGTGGTTAGCCTTATGCTGGAGTATTATGTTCCATTTTCTCTTTATTCAGACACACGTCCCTTAAAGTTTGTACATGGCATGGTCCCTTTCTAAGGACTATTAGTTATACTGAAATATTGAAATTCTAGCTTTTAGCTTTTAAAACCATGGCTAAAACTTCTCCAGGAATTTGATTTTTATATATTTTGTCAAATGTGTTTATTGTTATTTTTTGTCTACCTTTTCCCAAAGCCTGAGCCTTCCCCTTCAAGTTCCATGACAGCTCACTTAATGGTTGTAGGCATGATAGTCCCCTTTGTGCATGTATTAAATCTTACTCAGTTTTCAACTCTGAGATGTCAAGGTGGTTTCTAGCTTTTTACTACTCTAAACAATGATTTCTGTACAAACACAACTAGCCCAACCATGATTATCTCCCTAAGATAAATTCGTAGATGTTACTGCTAGGCCAAGTTACATGCTTATTTAAGGATTTTAATGAATCCTGCCAAAATGACCTGCACAAAGGATGCACTAGTTTATACTCCCACTAGCAGTGTATTAAATGCCCTTTTTAAAAATGAAGTACGAAATGCTGCTCAATTTTTTCCTATTTCCCCTGAAAATTTATTGTTTCTTAAACTTGAAAAAAATTTTTTTCGTTGAATTTATTGGGGTGATATTGGTAACAATATTACGTAGGTTTCAGTTATACAACTCTGATATATCATCTGTATATTACATTGTGTGTTCACTACCCCAAGTCAAGTCTCCTTCCATCACCATTTATATTTTGTCAAATTTAAATGTTTAAATATAGATATTTCTTGCTTAAATATCAACATAATTCTTCACATAGAATCACTATATCATACTTTATAGCTGATAAAATAGCCAGTCTCTCTGGTTCCTCACCTGTCATCCCAACACGATGTGGAGTCTGAGATACCCCAAGTCAGCAGGGTCACAGGTTTTGAATTTTCCGAGGAGCCCTTAGTTTCCTAGGTTCTTGAAATGGGTCTGGGAAAGGCAGTGCCTGGACCTTGAATGGAAGCTGCTGGCTTATCCCTGTTCGGGAGCTTCACAATGGTGAATGCTGGTGGGAAAATGACCTCCTTTGATGTGGATTATGACATAGGATGTTCCGTCTCCTTTTATACTCAAATCTCTAGTCTATTTCTAAGCCTTAGTGGGTTTTTCCTTTCTGAATGTCTTAGGTCATCTGTACCTATTTCCCTGGCTGTCACCTGTCATGGCTTTTTCCCAATATGATCCTATTCCGGGCTTTAATCAGGACAAACCTGAATGACTAGACTATTTTGTGTCCTGGTTCACCTCTCACATGAAAGTCAGATCCTCTTCAGTCACAGATTTGATCTGGATTTGGCTATAGTCCCAGCTGTTCACTCACTGTGAGACCCCAGGCAAGTCACTTAATGCTGCTGGGCCTCATTGTCCCCATTTGTAAAGTGAGGGGCAGATTATCTCCAAGGTCTACCCTGCTCTGTGTCTTCCCTAGTACCTTGCTTAGAAACCCAGTGTCTCTGGGAGCTTGTTGTAGCAGATCTGATTTCTTCACGTGCTCCCTTGGGCAGGCTGCCAGTCATTCTCTTGTCCGAGCCACTTCTGCCACTGCCTCTTTTCTAGCAAAGGCAGCCAGCTTGTCCTTACACCCAACTTCAGCATTCTTCTGCCTCCATGTCCTCTTCCAGCTCCACACTTTATTTCATTCAAAACTGCCTAAATTTCTCAAAGAAGTCTTCCTTGAATTCTCTATTCAATGTTTGCTACTTCCGTGAATCACTAAGAGAGAGTCTGTAGTTTACATACAACATGTTTATTTTAAAACAGAGTTCTCTCATCTGATGTATATTTATTTATTTATTTAAAGGAAGAGGGGAGGAGGGGAGAGAAACATTGATGTGTGAGAGAGACAGCCATCGGTTGCCTCTCGCACGCCCCCAGCTGGGGACCTGGCCTGCAACCCAGGCATATGCCCTGACTGGAAATTGAACCGGCGACCTTTTGGTTCACTGGCTGGCACTC